TAGAAGAATATTTCAAATAAATGATTTTTTCAATCAACACTTTTGGCTATTGTTTCATTATTTGTTGTAATGAAAATTTATATCAAATAAATGTTAGAAAAAGATATATTAAAATGTTAATTTATTCAATTTATTAATTGGGACGAGTTTGGGGCGAGTTCAGGGTAGAGTACCACATGTACCAAACCCGAAACCGAAAATTAGCATCGGGTAAAACCCGAACCCAATAACAACGGGTAAAACCCGAACCCAATAACAACGGGTTTTACCCGTTAAATTCAAGTTGAGTTCAGGCGTATGCTCACGGTTTCAATTTTCATTGTCATCCCTAGTTTGGTTGGTGTGATTTTAAGAGGAAATAAGATAAGAAGATAGAAAAATGAGAGAATTTCATTTTTTCATCTTATTTGGTTGAGGGTAAAAATGAGAAGAAAGAGGAAAATATGGTGAGTCCCATTACTTTTTGTTTCTCTCCTACCTATGTGAGAAAGTGAATAAATGAAATATTTTATTTGTAAAACACAATTTTACCCTTCAAAACTATTTCAAAAAATAATGTAACAAAAATATTATTGTCTATTCCAATGTTTTAAAAACCGTGTCGTACCGGCCGGTTCAACCAGAAAACCGGTGAACCGGACCCCTAACCGGTACGGTACGTATGTTATACTGCATATGCAATAGAACCGGTCAAAACCGGTCGGTTTGTACATTAATTTTTTTTTTAATTTCAAATTTTCAATTATTCACCAATTCTTCAACTTCACTGATTGATACTTGGGTCATTTATTTGTATTTTGCGTTTGTTAAGTGATAGTTTTGGATAAATATATGTTTTGTACTTTAGACTTTGATTTTATTAAAGACTTAATGTTATTTGTTTGTGTGAATTTGAAGTAAATTATGAATATGGATTATAAATATGAATATCTACTTATTTGAAATTTTTTATTATAGGTTTATATATATATATATATATATATAAGCAAGTATGTCCGAACCACTGGTTAAACCATTGTACCACTATATCAGTACCATAACCGGTTTGATAACCGGTACGGTTTTAATAACATTGGTCTATTCATATAAAAATTTATTCCTTTATCTTTTCTCTCTCTTTTTTCTTTTATATCAAACCATCCTTAAAATTTATTATCTTTATCACTCTATTCTGTCTACTCAAATTTTATTTTCTTATATTCTCTCCTCTTTTTCTTCTATAAACCACAGAAAGCCTTTTAATAACTAAGAATATAATGTCTGCAAATTCTCTACCTGTCCAATAACTACAGGCGAACGTGTAGCCCCGTGAACATTAGCCAAATGAATGATATTGTAGTAATAATTGAGATATGCCTATTATATTTTTAAAACAAAAAAAAACATTTATAGGTACATTTAAAATCATTTAAATAATACTAAAAAACTAATTCAACTCAAATTCTGTCAAACATAAATTTTCTTTATTCACAAGTATCCCACTAGTAAATACAAAATTTTATAGACTAAAAAGATAATTCATTAGTTTAAAAATATTTAGGAACCATGAACAGGTGGCAAATAACGGAATCCAGCTAGAGAATAAGATAAGTCGGGTTACCAAACACACGATACAACCCGAAAAACCCTAATCGAAAAGATTTTCCGCCTCATATATATATATAGTGTGAAGAATAAACCACAAACCCTAACATCAGATTCAGATAAGGGAAAGAGGAGGAAGAAGAAAAGATGCAGATCTTCGTGAAAACCCTAACAGGGAAGACCATAACCCTCGAGGTTGAGTCCAGCGACACCATCGATAACGTTAAGGCTAAGATTCAAGACAAAGAAGGTTTTTTTTTATAGTTTCTTTTTCCCCCTTTTTAATTGATTAATAAGATCGATTATTGATTCTGATTCTATTTTTCTTTGTTTAGGGATTCCTCCGGATCAGCAGAGGTTGATTTTCGCCGGAAAACAACTCGAAGATGGTCGTACTCTCGCTGATTATAATATCCAGAAAGGTTAGTTAGTTGGTTACAAAATTGAATGAAATTTCATATTTGAAATAGCGTAAGATTTGGTGAAGTGATGTTTTTTTTAACGTGGTTAATGGTTATGGTTCGTTTTCAAATTTAATTTATGTTGTTAGTGTAGAAATTGTATTTAGCCAAATGGTATATGAATAGTATGGGTATGCATGTGTGGTTGTGTTTACGAAGAGTGAAAGATTTAAAATTTGGCTTGTAACCGCCATGGAGGCCGCACATTGTGGTTTTGGTGTTCTCTGCAACCATATCAATGGAGGCTGCAGCATTTTGTGGTTTCGTCGGCCACATTTTCCCGCATTTGTCTGCAATTATGGTAGACACAACTATTTTGCGACACAACCACAACTTGAACCTTGATAAGGAGTTTAAAGTCTGGATGAAATATGAGTGTTACATTTTGACAATGTTTAAATTTTTTAATTTAGTGTGTTTCAAGTAGCCTTTTCCATTTTGATGTAGCAGACTGGTCCCTACTTATTGTGAATTGTTCTTTATATTTATTGTTTAGATTGGTAGCCTTATTGGATGTGCTACTCTATTTTGCAGAGTCAACATTGCATCTTGTTTTGAGGCTTCGTGGTGGCATTATTGAGCCATCGTTGATGGCACTGGCCAGGAAATACAATCAGGACAAGACAATCTGTCGCAAGTAAGTTTGCACATTCTAGCTTTTGTGTTATTAACATTGGAGGCCTGAATTGTTAGCTGTAGCATATGGCTCATTCTGGAAGTTGAGTACTAACTTTTGTCTCAAACTTTGGGTAGTCAACTTGTGATAAGTTGATGCATTGATATCTTGATGCGGATGAACTGACCATGAGCAGTAATCTTTACATGACAGTGAATATATTTAGCAGCATCAGATTTATTGCATTATGAATTACTGAAATGAAATAAATAATTTCATTTACTATTGCATTATTTTATGGAAGATGACTGGAGTGGGAATTTAAGCATCCGACTTCTTTATTAATCATATTGTGTGAAATACTTGCTTATAGACCTTATAACTTTTAATAGGAGTTAGAAATCATTTCTTTTCAAATATATAATCATTGTCTTGAAGTATTTTTTTCTGGCTATGAGCTTTTGTTGGTGAGGAAAGGGGGCATAAAATAGTAATTTAATACTGGTCATATTTTTTTCATGAGAGAAAATGGTATTCATTGCTGATGCTTTGTCTGTTGTAACTTTGTATATTATTCCTGTTCAATGACTACCTGAAAATTACTTTCATGTTACTGTATTCATGACCATTGCTGAATGAACTTATACTCACCTGTTATTTTGCTTCCCAGGTGCTATGCACGTTTACACCCTCGTGCTGTCAACTGCAGGAAGAAGAAGTGTGGACACAGCAACCAGGTATGATATTTTAACCTATGTTTACTTTTGTCACTTTTGTATGTTAATGGAATTTGCTTGTTATCATGTTGTCATTATCATGTTTATTTGTTGTGATTGCAGCTGAGGCCAAAGAAGAAGATCAAGTAGACTATTCTGATTGCCAAATGGATTTGTGGATTTACTAGATGTCTAGTCTTGTAATCTTGGTATTCGGGAAATCTGTTGGAAATTGCACTACCAATGACTGTTAAGATCTTTTAGTAATGAGTTTGAGACTGGTTGATATCAATTTTGATTTGCTTCAATGTTAAGACATATTTTTGTTGCATTTTATGATAATTTGTGGTCTTTTTCTGCTATGTTATGTTTTTCACCCTATTTTGGATTTTTTTCCCCATAATGCTCATTTTCATATGGTGAGATTTTTATGCACATTCCTAACTGTTGATAGAATAGTTTAAATTGAATGGATGTGCCTGGAAAAGCAGGCAATGTTAAATTATAATACTCTACTTATATTCTATTCCACCATCTTGAGGAATAATCTACTTATATTTTACAACTGCTTCCTATTTCATTTTATTTCATCTTGCTCCCAAGTCTCAAATTCTTCATTTTCCAATACTCAACATTTCAATTCATGAAAGTCTTAAGTTTGTTGACTAACAGCGCAAAAGCTTGTTACTAGTTATGAGTTCGGACTTGGATACTAATTTACAGTGACATGAGTGTGAAATTGTTTATCTGGTATTTACATTTAATTACAAAATTAATGATATTGTTTTCACATGAGGCAAGTATGAAGCAGCCCTTGTGCTAGTAAGGGAAAATGCTATATTAACTCTCACGTGGACTTGTGTTGACAAATCACACAATATTTTGAAGTATTAAGTATCTGATTTGGCAAGTTAAATCGACCTCTCCTTATATTTGACTTACAGGAAAAACATGCATTGGTGTATGAGGTTTTCACCTAGTGAGGTTTGAAATAGTAAATGTACATATTGTTACTTACTCAAGCAGAGCGTGTTTATGAGATTTGAACTCATGACTTTATGTAACAAGTTTACTAAGTTGATTAGTGAAAGCATCCTTATACACCGGGAATCACAATGACTAAAACACTCCTTTAAAGGAAGTGAGCCTAATTTTTAACACAACAAGCGTATTGATAAAAATTACTTAACTACTATCTTAATTTTGGTTCACTGAAATTTCTATCATCTAATGCTTGTTATATTATATAATAGCTTACAGCAACACTCCAATCTAAAACATCTAGCAGAAGAGTTCAGAGCAAATTAAATTGAATTAGAAAGGGGATGATGTGTGGTGAATTCTGGAAAGAACTTCCCCAAAAGCTTCTGACTTTGCATAAGAATCAGCACACCATTGTCCAAAGCCATGTTGAAAACTTCTTCAAGCTCATCATCCATGGATTCCTTGTACCCCGCCATTTGAGATAAACTAAGGCCCTATCTTCACCTGCCATGCATACATAATAAGTTAATAACCACTGAAGCTTGAAAACTCAGAAGGAATAGTAACTAGTAACCATTGAATCCTCCTTTCAGTTTCAACAACATAAATAAATAATAAAATAACTAATAAAATTGACAGCTGTGGGATTTGAACCCACGCCCTTTCGGACCAGAGCCTAAATCTGGCGCCTTAGACCACTCGGCCAAACTGTCTTACATGTCGTGTATTGTAAACGTCTTATATATATTGATGATATATAGATATACCATTGACTACATGTTTGGTACAACTACCAAGATAATTCCTCACTTTTGGTAGTAATTGATCTCTTTTGTGTTAGTGGTTTTCCGTCCCAAATAAGTATCATTCTAAGAAATTGAACCTATTCTAAAATCTTACAAGTCATTCACAACTACCAACGTCTTATTAATATATACCATTGAGTATGGCAATAGAGAAGGTTGGAATAGTATGAGATTTCCAGATCCACCATTTTTTTTCTTACCATTTTAAATTATATTCACTGTATTTATTGCAATAAAATAATCTATATATTATTAGTAATTTAGTATAAAAATTTATTAAAATAAAATTTAGAACTATTCCCGGGAAAAAATAAGGAAAGAAAAAGAAAGAAAAAAGATAATTGAAGGAGGGCGAGACTTCTTTCGCTCACTAGTAGAGAGTATGAAGAGAAAGAAAATAAAAGTGGTAAGACCCACAAACTTTTATTTTTTTTCTCTCACAGCCGGAAAGTAAGATAGTTTTTTGCAATTATTATAATGCCTATATTCATTATTATTTATAAGCATAAAATTGTATTAATAAAAATATATTTTTTCTCCATTCTAATTCTTTCATATATCTTTCATATCAAACAACTCTTAAAATCAACTCATTTTCTCATTTCTTTCTTTTTATTTTCTCTTATCATACTTTATATGCAATCAATCAATGTGAAACACGAGCCGAACGTCAAGCCTCGTATTAGGTCTAACTGGTTTAAACGATTAAGCCGTCCAGTTAGATCGATTGATTTTAAATATAATTAATAATTTTTATATATAAATATACAATTTTATATAACTATATTTAAGTAATATCTCTATGTCTTTTTTGGACTGAAATAAACAAAATAATAGAGTAATGTTACATTTTTTTAAATTTTATGTGAACCGTGTGGTTTCCCTTCGGGTTATTCCGTTTTAACCGGGTTTAGTACGGTTGAACCGAAATTTCTACAGTTCAAAGTAATCTAACTACTCATTCGATTAAGACTACAAAACTGAGTCATTTTCAAGTTTGTTCAGCGATCTAACCTATCCCTTCAGTTAATAACACTGCAATCAATATATAATACATTTTTATCTTCTAAATTTTATGTGTTGTAATTCAAATAATATATATGGAACATGCATAGTCACTCTACTCTTATAAAAACCTGTTAGAAAGAGAAATACAAGTCGCTGTTGTTCTGTGTAGCAGTCATGGCTTTCTCTCTGATTGCTCCAACTTCTACATCCTTCCTTCATCACAAGGTTCCTTCTTTCTTATGCCAATTTATCATTTCAATTTCATTCTATCACCCCTTTTTTTTCATCAACGTTAACTTTTCACTAACTCATATTTTTTCCATTCACTTTGTTTCTCAGAATTTTATTCTTCCCTCTGATTTCTCTTTCACTTCTACTATTTCCACTCACCGATGCCACAAATCTGCTTCAAAGAAAATCTTTTGTTCCATTGCAGCACCACAACAATTGCAGCACCGTCCATCCACTACTGGATCAGTTTGTTGCTATTACCCCTTTGGATTTTTGTTTCTTTGTTGTGATTCCTAGTTGTAATTTGGGTCTTGTTTTTCTATTGGTTTCAGGTGAAGAAGGCGATGACGATGACCGAAAAGATATTTGCTAGAGCTTCTGAGAAAACCCATTTGAGCCCTGGGGATAATGTTTGGGTTAATGTTGATATTTTGATGACACATGATGTTTGTGGCCCTGGTTCTATTGGAATTTTTAAGAGGGAATTTGGTGAGGATGCTAAGGTAATTGATTCATTGTTGCTCAACGTTTTGTTTGGAATTTTGATTTCTGATGATTGTGTACTTATTTTGGATTTTAATCATTGAGCTGATATGAAGCATTGGTTATATGAGCTTGCGTTGTATCGGAAATTATGAAGATCAGTTTTATGTAATTTGGGGGAAGGATGTGTTTTAACTTTTAATTATGATAGTTGGAGAAACTGGGGTTGGTGCTGTGTAATGAAACTCCGAAAGTGATTCGAAGAAAGTAGGGTCGGGCTTACTCAAGGATCTGTTATATTTTTCTATAGTTGCTTGATGATCGTTCTTCTTAACCTTTAAGACCAATGTTTTGTAATTTCGTTACCCTGACTGCACAATTCCTTTGAAATTGAAGGTTTGGGATCGTGAAAAGGTTGTAATAATACCTGACCACTATATATTCACAAGTGATGAACGTGCCAATCGTAATGTAGACATTTTAAGAGATTTTTGCAACGAGCAGAATATCAAGTACTTTTATGATATTAAGGATCTAAGCAATTTTAAGGTACATTTTTTATTATTTCATATGTTAGTTTGATCATTTCATTTCTTAAAGATCATTGCAATGCATGATATCCTTGAATGTTGAGTGTATGATTATCATAATGCAGGCAAATCCAGACTACAAAGGTGTTTGCCATGTTGCTCTTGCACAGGAAGGTCATTGTAGGCCTGGAGAGGTTTGATTAGTTTAACAAGCTATTTGAAAGACTAGTGAAGTATTGTATTGTTTGATAAAAATTGTTTCTTGCTTTGTTAATCCCGTTATGCTTCCTGCAGGTTCTCTTAGGTACTGATTCTCACACATGTACTGCTGGAGCATTTGGTCAATTTGCTACGGGAATTGGTAATACCGATGCAGGTTTTGTGTTGGGAGCAGGGAAGCTTCTGCTCAAGGTAATTTTATCTTTTACCGAGGTCTTTGTTTTTTCAAGTTACTATATTATTGTTTTTTTACTGCAAGAACTTGATCTTAGTGCACTTGTTTTCTCCTCCAACATAACATGGTTGTAAAAATATTCCTTTAATTTCTAACATTCTTCTTTCATTGAGTCTATCTTCTAGTGCTTTTGGTGTTTTCGTAGCATATATAAGACACCCTTCACTATTTGTGATAATTGTTTCACCTACATGAACAAATAGCAAAATGCAATTAAGATCAGAAATTTAAAAACACAGCATGATCACTCTTCCTCCTGGTTGTTCCAAACTCTAAGATTACCTCTCTCTCTTTCTAACTTTATGCTGTCTTTATTAATACTAGAGATAATTGTTAATATGCAGGTGCCTCCAACTCTGAGATTTGTAATGGATGGAGAAATGCCCAATTACTTGCTCGCAAAGGATTTGATTTTGCAAGTAAGTATCCTTGATGTTGTACTTTTGTTTATGCTTGAATATATCATATTAAGGAGCCACATCTGCTGTCCCAAGATGTGTACCACTCCATGCACCCTTTCATTCTCATTGGTCAGAAAATTTAAAGTTAATATATATTAAATTCATGTTTTACTTTTCTTACCAATGAGAACGAATGGGTACATGGAGTGGTACACATCTTGGGATAGAAGATGTGCTCCCATCATAATATGGCAGCCTTGGGGTTCTTTAATAAGCTTGTTTCCTTGTAGCAAATAGAAGAATCATATCCTTACACGAGTCAGTATTTACCTTGCAGATTATTGGTGAAATAACCGTGTCTGGTGCAACATATAAATCTTTGGAGTTTGTTGGCACAACCATTGAAAGTTTAAATGTAAGTATGCTCAGCATGGTGCTATACTATGATCTAGCTCTCACTTCAATCTCTGAACTTGTGTTTTGATTATAAATAATGTTTATGTTATTTACCTGTTGGATAGATGGAAGAACGAATGACATTGTGCAACATGGCTATTGAAGCTGGAGGGAAGAATGGTATTGTTCCTGCTGACAGCACTACATATAAATATCTCGAGGTTTGTGTAACTGACTAGATGCACTGAAATTGGTTTGTTACCTCTCAAGTAAGATATATATGTTTGCATTTTGCGTGTACCTCTCTTCTTTCTCTCAATGAACTGCCTTTTCTTTTAATAAAAATGGTTGCATTTACCCTGCTATACCAAGATTGGAACAAAGATTCAATTTGGTAATTGTTTATCTCTTTTATCACCAGAGGAGTGTGTAGGATTGTATGATATCTTGAATAGTAGTGACATGACCATGTTTTCCTTTTTGTCATATTTGCTTCCAATATCTAATATTGGCCATTGAATATGCTATGTCATGAAGTTTTGATGGATGGACATGGTGGCTGTTTGTGTTTCCCATGAATGATCCCTTTGCATATGGTGCCCATGTCTTGGCTAGCATTGGCTTTAATACTGATCTGATTTCTTGTGCAGGGTAAGACATCTTTGTCATATGAACCGGTTTACAGTGACCAGCAAGCAAGGTAGTAATAGTTTCCCAATTCCTTGTTTTGCTCCCTTGTATTCAGTGATAAGGAAAATTTATTGTTCCATGTATAGGAATAGTTCAACAAATTGCATTTTATCTATCGGCGTGATATGTTTTGATGGACTAGTGGTAGTATATAAATGCAATAATGTTTGTAGAAATAAACATGACAAATTTCGATGCTGTTTCCAGGGTTTTATCAAGTGTGTAGATTAATGAACTCACTGCTTACTGCTGCAGCAATAGTCGTGTAAAAAGAAAGGATATGTGAATGTCATTATACTGTCTTCCTTTGTTTGGAGATATAATTTTCCTCATGAAAATTAGACACTGGCTTTTGATTCTAAGTAGTGAAACTGTGTCATCATAGGCCCAAAATTTATTGTCAAGATGAGCCTCAACTTCTTTTTAATGATTAGTGATCAAATATGAAACTTGGCCGGCTTCATAGATAAAGTTAAAACCTCCTCTTGGGATTCTCATGTTGCATATGGATTTAACCTATCAAACCAAGCTTATATGCATGATTGTTGTTCATTAACATGGTTATATTTTAGCATACATCATTTGGAACTTAAAGGATGAATTAACTCAATGTCTGCAAAATTATGCTGAAGAAAAAACTAATGTAGCAATTAGCAACTGAAATATTAGTATTAATTGGTGATCAGTTTTACCCATTACTTAGACCTGGTTTTTTCTGTGAGTATCCAGTTTTCTTTCT